CGTATTTTTTATCATGCAAAGATACAACACATTTTAACAGATAATAAGTTAAAGATTTAACAAATGCATTTCACATACATTTTTAATAGAATTTTAAAACGTTGTCCATAGAGAGAATGAATTTTTTTAACTTAATTTTAAAAACAGGAAGAGTAATAAAATGAACCAAAATTTGGAAATACTATTTTATTCCAAAGATGGGGTGCACGATATGCAATACAAAATTAATTAAACTTAGTTTTACAAAAAGGTTCATTTAAAAAATTATATCTTAATGTGTATTTATTGGTTTTAAAGAAAAAAGGTCGTTAAAAACAAATAAAGATAAATCGTTTTTCCTTATTTGAGTAAAACATAAGACATTAAATATTTTCAGTTTATGAACATCTAGAACCTTCATATAATCCAAAAATATTTTGAATGTGAAAAGTGATCCGCATAATTAACTACGCGGATTGCATGTTTCTGACGGGGATAAAGATGTTCTAATTTACTTTTATCCGTACTTCCCCAGGCGATGATTGCATAATTTATATAATTATGTATAAATGAATCATAGGGTTTAAGTTTTTTTTTGTTTAGATAATTTCGGCCTTTTTATAAAATGCAAATATTTTTGGAAATTTTTGTGCTTACATGATCAATATGTTTTCTCCAAGTAATATTCTCATCAAGGTAAACACCTAAGAGTTTTATAACAGTATCTCTTTTTATTATCGTTTCATCAATATAAATTTGAGGCATATTACTTGGTAAAAAACGTTTTTTTGCGCAGGAGTGAAAGATAATTCATTTTGTTTTGTTAATATTTAAAGTTAATTTATTAGCTTTGAACCAATTAGAAATGTGATTTAGTTTTTTGTTTGTAGTTGAAAACTAAATCACATTTCTAATTGGTTCAAATTGTTTGTAGTATGGGATAAGAAAAGATAAGTATCATCAGCAAACATTTTACTTTTCAATATGGAAGCTTTGTTTAAGTCTTTTACATAAATTAAAAATAGTAGTGATCCGAGAATAGAACCTTGTGGAACACCACAGGTTATGCTCAGGGGTTCACTTTACTGACCATCATTACTATAAACAAGTTTTCGATTTGTTAAATAGCTTTCAAACCATTTTAAGAATCTATTGCTTAAACCTTAATGTTTAATTTTTTGGATTAAAATGTGATGATCGACCGTATCAAAAGCTTTTGATAGGTCAATAAAAACACCAAGTGTATGTTGGGATTTTTAAAAGATTCAGAGATGTTATGTATAAATTGAATAATGGCATGTTCAGTTGAACTCCTTTTTCTAAAACCATACTGATTGATATGAAGTAAGTTGTTGTATTTAAAATAATTGTATACCCTATTTAAGATAATACTTTCTAAAATTTTAGAAATATAGAAAGGACAGAGATGGGACGATAATTACTAATATTGGATCTGTCGCCTTCTTTATGGATAGGCGTAACCCTGGCAAGTTTTATACGTTCAGGAAAAATACCTTGAAGGATAGATTCTCTGAAAATTTAAAAAAGAATATCTTTTAGTTGTTCGTAGCAATCTATAACAATATTTCCGTTTATTTCATCTGCACCAGGTGCTTTATTTATTTTTTTAAGATTTCAAAGCTTTTTCAAACTCATCAAACGATAGTTCGGCAGATAATTTTTCACAGTAAATATTTTTATCAATACGTATTAAAAAATCATAAAATGAAATATGAATAAATCATAAAAGACGACTTTGTAGTTTTTTTTATTTTTTCTTATAATTTTAATAACACAGAAAAATGTGAACCTGTGTTTTTAAAAAGTCTTAAAAAATCTTTAGAGAGAAGAGTAAAAACATGTGCAGTTAGATAAAAGAGAGAATGAAATAGTTATGACAATCTATATCATTTTTTTTTTTGTAAAAAGTATTGAGCTAAAAATAGTTTAAAATTGTTTAAAGAATATTTTAGTAAACTGCAAGCAAATCTTTTTTAGCTATGGTCAAATTTTTACCCGTATACAAAGAGTCACTGGATTTCAAAATGATGGTTTGTTTCCGCTCATCATCAATTGATTAATCTAAATTACAAGTTGCTAATATGTTTAAAACACTATCATCTTAACCTGAGCTTTTGTCATCTTAGCAACCAGAATCTATAGTAGTGCCACCATTACCAACACATCTCAGTCACTGCTTTCTTACAACATCTAGCATCAGCATATGTCAAAAATCTCAAGCCGTACAGTTAATGATGGTTTGTTTCCGGTCAACATCAATTGATTAATCAAAATTACAAGTTGCTAATATGTTTGAAACACCATCATCTCAACCTGAGCTTCTGCTACCTTAACAACAAGAATCTATAGTAGTGCCACCATTACCAACACATCTCAGTCACTGTTTTCTGAATCTAAACCTACAACATCTAGCATAAGCATATTAAAAAAACTCCAGCCTTACAGTCAACTCGCTTTCAACCAACTACCAAAACAACTATATTGAAGTTAAAAAATAAATGCAATTGGTCCAATCGCTTTTCGTAGCTTTGCAGCAGTTATTTTGCATCCAACTATAGTACGTTACAAGATGCAAAGGGAAGTTCTTTAACAAGTATCACATATTTAAAAGATTGAAAAACGCTGCCAGCTAAAACTCAGCATAGCAAGCTAGGAAACAACGTAAACTTGGCTTTGACAATAACCAGCATATAAATCAATTAATAACTGCGATTCCAACAACAACAATAACAGCAGCAAACTCATTCAAAAAATTCTTCATGCAGGTCAAAATTGCTGTATTGTTTAGCACGGAGCGTCAGCAAGTCAAAATCATGAATTGTATCAATAAAATAGTCTAAATCATGAATTGTATCAAAGTGTGTCTTCGTCAAGCATGCATTCCAAAGCGATTAATAAAAGACACCAAGTATTCTTGCATCAAAAGGTGCAGCAAAGGTGCAGTACAGGTGAAGTACAACGAGCAACACATGTACAGCACAGTGCAGCACAACGCAACTTTCAGAACCTTTTAAAGACTTAATATTATTTCATTAATACTATTATTTTCTTTACTAATTGGTGGTTTTTTAATTGTTATAATTTTTTGTTTTTGATTCTAATGATTATTTGTGTTTTTTTATTTAAGTACTCTATATATACTATATATATATATATATATATATATATATATATATATATATAATATATATATATATATATATATATATATATATATATATATATATATATATATATATAATATATATATATATATATGTGTGTGTCTATATATATATATATATATATATATATATAT